GAAGGATGACAGGGAGGGGAAACCAATATATCTGCGCATGTAAATAGTAGGGTGACCCAATAGCATGTGTGAAAAATTGGGACTGGGGTAAGAGGATTCTACGCAGTTCCCAGACAAGACAAAGCCAGTATTGGGGTATAATATTGGGCTATGTGGTCACCCTCCTGGTAAGGGAATGTGGTGTGCTGTAAGAAGGATGTGTGGGTGTATGCAAGCTAATATGAGGTGCAGAAAGGAGTGGGAAACTGGTGGTCGTGCGTGCAATGCAAGGAAAAGAGAATGAGAGTTGTGGGGAATTAAAAGAGCAAGGGGGCTCATAAAGATGTAGAGGTAGTGCCTATTAGTTAAAACAGTGTATGGGAAACCAAACATGGGAGCACTAATGTGGGCTCTGGGGAAGGGTGAAGAGGGCTGTAAATTACGTGAATGCACTTTGTCACTCACCCTGAGTGACTGAAGAGAAGGATGATTTGGGGGGGTGGAGGTGCTCTGCATTGGACTGCAACCAACATTCCTTCAATAGAAACATGTGGTTGGCTATGGATGATGTGCTAATCAGTTAGGCTTATCTACACTGACAGGTTCTTGCGCAAGAACAGCAGTTCTTCTGCAGAGCGTCCGCACTGCGGGCCCTCTCTTGCACAAGAAGATTTACAGCATGGTGTGGGAAAAGACGGCTTCTTGCGCAAGAGTTACTCTCTTTTCTAACAAGTGTAAGCCTGCTTGCACAAGAGCTCTTACGCAAGAGGGCAGTGTGGATACGCGGCAGGGGTTTCTTGTGCAAGAAAGCCCTATGGCTAAAATGGCCATCAGAAGCTTTCTTGTGCAAGAGAGCATCCACACTGCGCAAGAACCCGCCAGTGTAGACATAGCTCCCCATGGCACCCAAATCTCTCCTGGGTCGTTGCCCAAGGGTTCAGTTTACAGGAAATACAGACTGAAATCCTTAATAAATGAGTAGTCCTGTGGCTCCTTAGACTTTCCTTGGCCAAAACCCACTTCCTCAGAGGAGCAGAGGAAGTGGGTTTTGCCCGGGCAAGCTATTTGTTAGTCTCTAAGGGTGTGTCTAGACTACCTAGTTTTGTCGACAAAAGTCCACTTTTGTCGACAAAACTATACCTGCGTCTACACTACCGCTGAGGTCTGTCGACATAACGTTGACAGAACTCAGCAGTTTTGTCGACACTGGTAAACCTCATTTTACGAGGCATAACGCCTTTTGTCGACAGAGTTCGGTCGACAGAAGGTGTTATGCCTCGTAAAATGAGGTTTACCAGTGTCGACAAAACTGCTGAGTTCTGTCGACGTTATGTCGACAGAACTCAGTGGTAGTGTAGACGCTGGTATAGTTTTGTCGACAAAAGTCCACTTTTGTCGACAAAACTATACCTGCGTCTACACTACCGCTGAGGTCTGTCGACATAACGTTGACAGAACTCAGCAGTTTTGTCGACACTGGTAAACCTCATTTTACGAGGCATAACGCCTTTTGTCGACAGAGTTCGGTCGACAGAAGGTGTTATGCCTCGTAAAATGAGGTTTACCAGTGTCGACAAAACTGCTGAGTTCTGTCGACGTTATGTCGACAGAACTCAGTGGTAGTGTAGACGCTGGTATAGTTTTGTCGACAAAAGTCCACTTTTGTCGACAAAACTAGGTAGTCTAGACACACCCTAGATGTACCCTAACATGCAAACCTTAGGAAGGGTGGGGCTCATTACTAGATGACAGCCTACGCCTGGGGTGGTTCCCTGGCCTGAAAGGGGTGTGAGGGCAGGGGACGTGCATGGGTGGAAGAGATAGGTGGGGGAGAGGCGGGGGGAGGGGGAGCTCTTGCCACATTCTGCACACGGCTCCCCCCGGCTTCCTGCGGGCACCTCGCGCCGCCCCCTCCTGCCCCGCCCCGCCCTCGCGGCGGCACGTGGAAGCTGCGGGCCGGAGCAGGGCGAGTTCTTGTCGGCCCGCTTGGAGCGCGGGCGGTTCCGGTGTCACCATGGCGACCGGACGCGGCTGGATCCTGCAGCAGCACAGCCTAGGGCTGGCGCGGGCCGCGGCGGCTTCCCAGCGCCCGGCGTCGCCCCCCTGCCCCAGCGGCCGCTCCCAGTTCTCCGCGGCTCCTCCACCGGGCCCGGAGCGGGGCAGGTAACCGCCCCTCCGCGCCTGCGGGTGCCCGGGCCGCCCAGGCGGGTGCTGTGGCGGGACCCGAGCGATGGCGTCTGGGCTGTGGCAAGGGGAGAGCGAGGGCGGGACTGGCGCAGCTGCGGCGGCTGCGGTGGGGGGCAGCTTCTAGCTCCACTCCCCGTGGGGGCCGGAGATAGCGGCCGCCTTCTGTTTCTCATTTCGCCCCTCTTGGGTCGGTGCCACCTCCTGTCCACGTGGGAAGCCAGGCTAGTGGGATCCAATCACCCATGCGGCTAAAAGAGAGTCAGAGACTTAAATGGAGGAGGGAGAAAAATTGTTCTCCTTGGCCTCTGAGGATAGGACCAGAAGCAATGGGCTGACATTGCAGCAAAGGAGGTTTAGGTTGGGCATTAGGAAAAACTTCCTAACTGTCCTGGAGGTTAAACACTGGAATAAGTTGCCTAGGGAGGTTGTGGAATCTCCATCACTAGAGATCAGGCGTGGCCCGAGGCCGGCTGCGGCAGCTAGCGCCCCAGGCAGGTGACGCAATTGGAGCCCCTGCCTGTACTGCCATTAATGGCCATGATGTCATCATCAGGTGCCCCGGGGCAGCGGCGCTCTAGGCAGCTGCCTCCTTTGCCTAGGCTCACGGGTCGTCCCTGCTGTAGATATTTAAGAGTTGCCTAAACAGACATCTGTCAGGGATGACCTAGAGCAGGGTTCCCCAACCTATGGGTTGGGACCCGAATATGGGTCGCTATTACATTTCTAAAGGGTCGCCAAGTGTTTCCTCAGGTGGCTCTGTCTCCCTTCCTCTCCCCATTTTTAAATTGCCTTGGGTCACCAAGTCTTCCTGAATTGTCAAAATGGGTCCCCATCTGAAAAAGTTGGTTGGCCCTGCCATGAGGGCAGGGGACTGGACTTGATGACCTCTCAAGGTCCCTTCCAATTCGCGCGTTCTGTGATTCTATGACACAGGTTCAGGATGGCTGCTGCTGGTCACATAAGTGTAGCTAAGGAACACTCAACTTGTATATGGTTGGGAGCTAAAAGATGGGATATTGTAGTTGAGAGGGCCCTCCAGAGGCATGCGTAATTTCTGATTAAACTTGTGAGTGTAAAAGGAGTAAAGTACATACTAAGGTATGCATTAATAATGTGTAAATGTATAAATGTGAAGTGTCAAAGGGGCTGAGAGTTCATGTCTAATTAGTTTATTTAATATATATTGCTAAAACAAATAAGATAATGTATCCAATGAGGCTGGATGTCAAATCTCTCTTTTTCTTGAAGAACTTACTCCAGGCCTGGCAGGTGACAATTTTGGATGGAATATCCAGACCTAACATAAGAACAGCCATACTGGGTCAGGCCAAAGGTCCATCAAGCTCAATATCATGTCTGCTGACAGTGGCCAATACCAGATGCTTCAGAGGGAGGGATCACAATAGGTAATCTTCACGTGATCCCTCCCCTGTCATTCACTTCTAGAGAAACAGGCTGAAAGTAAATTACAATTTTTTACAGGTACTAGCCTCCTGTAATCCGGGTCCCTGCCAGCTATTTAAATAATTCCCTGCTAGATTTTTTTAGCTCTGCCAGCTTTTGCTGGAGCTGTGCACCAGGGTGCACCTGCTTACTTTCATCTCTGGGAGTACCTCCAAGGAAAAGATATTGGTTATGTAGCAGCTGATACTTGAGAAAGTTGCCTTTGAACAAAAGGCTACAGAAAGGATTACTTGGTTGCTAGAGGTGCCATTCTTAGGTGTGATATAAAAATGAAGGTGTTTCCTCTTATTTAATAAAAAAATCAACGTAGAAAACGGCATAATTTTAACAATAGTGCCCACTGCATAGTCTCTTTCTCCACTGTCTCATTGTCCATTCCTCCCATTGCCACTTTAAGTCTATACAATTTTCCGCATTGAAAACTATTCACATTTAATTGCAGTGTCTTCAGACTCTCAAGCCATTTTAAAGGCACAAATCCAAGTTCCATGCTGCATATATATATATAACATCCTTGCCACATGATGCAATTGTAGTCCTGCATAAGATAGGAGCCTCAGGCAAGAACAAACTAAATCACTACCACACTTTGGGGAACTTCCAAAAAAGGAACTTCCTAGAGGTCTGCCAGGCTTGAGATTTGATGAATGACTTTGTCCACCTGTCCCAACTCCCATGCCACATAAATTGCATAGGTTTGAGTCCTAGAATTATTTGAACCATCCCCGGTCTCAGGTATCCTCCTGTGTACATTGCCATCTATTATTGCTCTATTGTAGCACTACTGTGTTTTTTTTTCTTTCCTCCCCCACCTAAGATAAAAAGGCTCACTGTAATGAATGAGTGGCTAGTTTAACATTTGACTTTTTTATGTTGTGAACTCTTCTATATTTTCTTGGCCATACTTGTACATAATATTTTATTTGTAGTTGAGCAATTAATGTTATTAGATTACATTCGTAGGGAGATAAGAGGCACCAGGGAGGCAGGAGACTACAAAGGGGGAATAGGGGAGACTGTCTGTTCCACAGCCCTGGACTTAAGTTTGAGCTATTCCCTTCCTTTATCACTGCATATGGCCTTTTGCCAAATAAGAGTGACAGATTGACAGTAGGGGCAAATGCGTGAGTGACTGTGGTCAGGGATGCTTAGTAGTAAACAAGACTGGACTTTTCAAAGGAGCTGCCCAACTCTATTGAAATTCTAAGGGAGCTTGAGTGCCTATCTTCTTAGGCTCCTTTGAAAAATCCCAGGTTTAGATGTTAATCATCCCTTAGGCCTGGGATTTAGTCTTCCTGTCTAAAATACATTTTAATCAGATGAAACTTTGTTTTTCCTTTCTTCTCTATCATCATTTCACATCTTTAGGACAGCTGGTTCTGGCAGCTAGTGATCCTGGTAAATGCCAGGTGCCAGGAGGTGCTGGTAAAACACTAGTGCAGAAGCTTGGTATTATCTTTTGCAGCTGCTGACTTGAATGATAAGAAAAGAAATAAGAGACATGGACTATAGCTTTTGGCATCAAGATGTGAATAGAATGCAGCAAATTCAAGAGTATGTCAAAGAAGAGGATCAGATCTAATGGCAGTCAAGTGCAGTTTTTCCCAAAGTGTGGGGCACAGTCCTCAGGGATGCAAATGGAACTTGGACAGATATTCCAATTATTCTCCATAGTCTTAGCTTTCCGTTATAAAAAGGAGAGAAAAAAGGAAGTCTCTATAGCTGTTATGGTTAGGAAGAAAACATTAAAAAATAAGGTTTGACAATTGTTGATGCAGACAAATATGCACTGAGCCTGAAACCATAGTTCTGAGGAGTGAACTGAGCTATTTAGTCCAAAGAGTACTAACACTGGATATCAATTCTAAATCAGGTTCTCGACACCAAATTTCTTTGTGGCCTCAATTCTCCCTTTTCCTAAAATATTTAACTGATTTTTGGAAAACAAATATATACATGCATATCCAAATCGGTTTATGTACATTTTTGCAGACTCGGTAATAAAAAATAATTCTGTGGAAAGTGATATTAACAAACATACAAGTAGTACTTATCACAGCCTTGGGGCTAGCTGGTAAGTCTGCTGTGAAAAGTGATGCTTGCATGCTTGTTCATATCACTTTTCTCAGCAAGATCCAGGACAAATTCAACCATTGATGAAGATTAGAGAGGAAGGCAGCAGGGTGAGGCTATATGAAGGCTATATGAAGTTGGATATAGATGTGGGCTGAGGGTGGGCAGTGAGGGCCTGAAGGTATGATGTAATGGATGGAGGATTGCGACGGTAGTGAGAGACAAGGGGCAATAATGGGTGGGATGGTGAGCTTGTGTGGTCAAAGCCAGGGATCAGCACTTGCTGTTGTGTGGTCAGAGTTGGGAGTCCTATGGCTGAAGCCAGGAACTGCAGCCGGCTTCTGTGTGGCCAGGGATCAACTCCTGCCATCATATGGCTAGAGCTTGGGATTGGTGCTGGGGGCCGGAGCCTGAAACTGAGGCCACGTGGCCAGATTCAGGGGTTGGTGCCCAAAGCCCTGTAGCCAGGCTTCTTAGGTCCCATCACTGGAGCCTGCTGCTCAGGTACCACAGAGCTAAAGCACAAGCATCTCTGCCATCCCTCCGGGTGGATTCGCAATTCACCTTGCTCCTTTAGCTTTGTGTCTCATCTGTCTCCAGAGGCAGTGCAGGGCAGTTCACCCAGGAGCAACAGGAAGGGAGAAGGAGAGGCTGATATTTTGCCCCAGTCACTGCTCAGGAGGCTGTTGTGCCTGCACAAAAAGCTCCTGGTGGCCACATTTGAGAAACACTGCTCTGAATCATAGAATCATAGCAATGTAGAGATCTCAGTATATCATCTATTTCAGTCCCTCCCACACTCAAGGCAGGACTAAATAATAACTGGTTAATAACATTCTTAACTTTTTCACTGCTCATGAAAACACTTGTAAGAAAGGAGAGGAAGTATGACATTATGAATATCTATACAAGCATTTCCAGAAGTGCTGTATGCACAGGTAAAAGTGTGCATTCAAAGAAAGGGGCTAACCAGCAGAGCAAAGATTGGTAAACCTTTAGTAGCATAAGGTGCTGAAGTATGTCAGATTTCATTTTCCTGTAGAGGGAGTTCACCTTCCAAAGATTTGAGAAACAGGGTCCTAGTAACAAGGTCAGAAGTCTTGTGTTATGTTTTCAACCCTTCTGTTGTATTACCTTGGACAAGTTTCCTATCCATTCCTTACCTCAGATTCTCTACTGTAAAATAGTGGAAAGCACTGTGAGAACATTAGATAAAATGAGGAATAGTCATTTAAATAATTACTGTTATTCTTTATGACTAAAATATTTTACAATTTTAGAAACAATCATTATTGTTACAATTTTAATTAAAACTTGCTATGTTCTTTGAAACCGACTGGTTTACTCCTTCTTTAAAGATTGCCTCCACTTTTCATGTACAACAGATTATTTAGCAGAAAACTGAGCTACAAAACTGTATGCCACAAACTGAACAGCTA